GGCTGCCGCCACCGTCGTCGTTGTCGTCGCGCACTCCGCGGTAGGGTTTGCCGCCTTCACCGCCGCGCCGCCGCTGCTTTGCGCTCCTCGGCCGAGGCGGAGGGAGCTCGCGCGGCTGAAGCAGCTTGAGGCTGTGGAAAATGGAACTCTTGTGGTGAATGATATTAACACTATTGATAGTCTCGTTGATCGGCTTCTAACCGCTGTTGAAGCTGATAAGGCTTATGTTAGGTTTGCGTTGGAGAGAGGAAGGGAGAAGCATCCCATACAGGAGGTGCTCAAACAGTTAAGAAAGAGCCAACCTGTTTTGGAACATTTGCTTGGGGATCTTGAGCAACACATATACTTCTGTTTTTACAGTGTTAACAAGGCCAGATTTGCACTTCTCAATGAGATATGCCTTCATCAAACTCATTAGTTAGTTCCTTGATTCTTAATTCATGCAAGAATGCATTACTGACTCACATTGATAGGGATAGACTCTGTTTATAATTTGACATGGACTCTTTATGATATGTAGTTATATACACCGAATTGACTTGCTTTGTTTGAATGTACTCATTATTTGGTTCATTCATGAGATAGTGGTGCCAGTGCCGGCCAACCTTTTACTTGCCATCATATTTTAGATATTAGATGAAGGATTTTTGTATAGGGTCAATATTTCAGGTGGCTTATGCTCAACATGTATGGTATGTAATCAATTGTTATGTATCATGATGCACTTTAGAGTGTTAATGTAAATTTGCAACGTTATCTTTTTTATGACTTTGTTTATGATGCTAATCGTGGAGTTCCTTTGTGTTTATACCTGTTGTGTTTGTTTCAAGTTCAACTATTTGGTTTGTCTGATGAATCTTTTTAGCTGTAGATTCTACTAAAAAATGACATATGTTACTATATGGTTGCGTTTGGCTTTTTAGTTTTCTCTTAACATATTGGAATAGGAATACACTTATACACGCAATTTCTTTGTTTTAGTTCTAGTTGACTTTCTTACAGGTGTTCTCATTGTTTCATTTTGCAAAAGAATGTGAGAAAACAAAAGCTATATATTAGTTTCACTTTATCATTAAAATTCCCTGTATTGCTTGCGTAGTCTTCAGTTCAACTTACTCCTAGATGTTACATTTCATTGTGAACACAGTGCAGCATAAATGAAATTATGTGCTTTTGAGAACAGGTCACCTTATATTATAAATCAATATCATATCTATTATTATTAATACATCTTTTAGATCATGCTGGTTCATGATCATCTGTTCTATCACTTTTACAGTAAAAGTGACTGGAACACCTGTGGTTATTGATATTCACTACTCATGCTCAATAAGTGATCATAGAAGAGTATAACCATCCTCAGATTTTAGAGTGGGTAACAATATTCACTTCAAAGGCAAAAGGATGGATACATTCATACACATGTTGCTATTGACGTTCAATAGTCATCCTCGTAATAACCTGTGATTTTAAAGACTGTACAGGTAAGAGCGTATCCATCTTAGATTTTTCTGTGTTAAAACTACTACGCATTTGGAAGAGCTCTAGACATAATTAGTTACTTTGAACAGGATTGTAACGGTAGTGTAATTTTGTGATTGTGCTGATATATATAATTATTAGAACCCTCCATATAACTACAGAATCTCAGCAATGAAGTAAGTATTGGGGATGATCTGCATTTTCCTGATTGCAATTTTCTGTTCTATGAAGTATGCAAGACCAGAGTCAAGCATCGAAGTGAACTCTGTAGAACAAGTTCAAAGCTGAAGCAGCCAACAAGGTCATCCTCCGGAAACTTAAGAAGCGGCTAGGGAACGCCAAAGGACAGTGGCTCGACGAACTTCCCAGCGTCCTCTGAGTGTATCATTGCACCCCCCAGTCGACCATGCAAGAGATGCCTTACAGGCTGACCTACGGAGCTGACGCAATGATCCCAGTTGAAGTCAGAGAGACGTCCCATTGACGCCAAGTTTTTAACAGCGAGCAGAACGCTCGAGAGTTGGCAGCTGGCCTCGACTTGGTTGACGAGCTTAGAGACGTAGCTCAAATCCACGAAGAAGCCTGCAAGCTCCGAGCTTCTCGAAGATACAACGCCCTAGTGAGACCTCGCTCTTTCCGAGTTGGTGACTTGGTGTGGCGATTGTTGGGCGAAGCACGGAAAGATACGTCAGATGGGAAACTTGCACCCACTTGGGGAGGCCCATTCTGAGTTACAGAAGACTTGGAAAATGGAGCGTACCGATTAGAAGAGCTCAGCGGAAAACCTATACTACGAACTTGGAATGCTACGCATCTCAAGTTCTATTTCAGCTAAATTTTGTACGAATGAGTTGTGCACTCTTTTCCCGCCTCAGTCTTTTATCCCAAAAAATAGAAAAATGAGTTTTGGCTGAGAGGGTTTTTAACGAGGCACATTTACATAATCAATAAAATGACTCATTCTGTTCAATTCATATTTTTAGTTCTGCATCACTTTATGTTTTATGATGAATAGAGGTCGAGTTCGAACCAACTTCTTTCGCTCTCACTTAAGGTCGAGTTCGAACCTTCACAAAGAATTACTTAACAAAAATATAAGGTCGAATTCGAACCTTCGTACAATTCACTCTACTTTAATCTAAGGTCGAGTTCGAACCTCGGTATGACCAATTCGAGGTCGAGTTCGAACCTTCACAAAGAATTACTTAACAAAAATATGAGGTCGAATTTGAACCTTCGTACAATTCACTCTACTTTAATCTGAGGTCGAGTTCGAACCTCGGTATGACCAATTCGAGGTCGAGTTCGAACCTTCACAAAGAATTACTTAACGAAAATCTGAGGTCGAATTCGAACCTCGGCATGATTAACTTAAGGTCGAATTCGAACCTCGGCATGATTAACTTAAGGTCGAGTTCGAACCTTCACAAGAATCACGTAGCAAAAATCTGAGGTCGAATTCGAACCCTGGCATGACCTAGGTCGAGTTCGAACCTTAACAAAAATCACTTAACGAAAATACGAGGTCGAATTCGAACCCCGGCATGATTAACTTAAGGTTGAGTTCGAACCAACACTTAACCAAAATCCAAGGTCGCATTCGAACCCCGAAATGGTTAACTCGAGGTCGAGTATCACAAAAGATAGAAACACACAACAGACATTGAACGTGTGTCTCAAAACGCGCAGATAGCAAAAAATAAAGTCTAAACACAAAGGCAAAGAAAAGTGCAAATGGACAAAAAATACACATATATACAACAATGTTTTCAAAGTTCCACAATTGAATTCAGAGGAGAAAAATAAAGCAGGGAAAATTAAACTAGGCTATTACAAAATTTGGCCTATGTGGAGGCATTCTCACTAGAGCTATCCTCGAGGTTGTCCTCCTTTACCAGCTTCCCAAAGCGAACTACTTTCTCCACGTGCATGGCAGAGAAGTCGAACCCCGGGGCAAGAAGCCTTGCCTGGCAAGCTGCCTTGAGGAAACCCCACTTATGCTCAACCATAATAGCCCGTTCGGTTTCCTCCAGCTTCTTCTCCAGCACCGCCCTCTCCGCCTCCTGCTTCGCCAGCTCCACTCTCAAAGCGGCGACCTCCTCCTCCTTGCCGCCAAGGACAACCTCATCACAGAGGCACTTCTCAGCCGCAGCCACCAGGTCACTCTTCAGGGAGGTCACCTCATCCTCCAAGGAGCGGACTCGACCACGGGAAGACGTCACCTCATCTTCCAAGAAATGCACCCGACCTCGGGACGCGACGGCAAGTCCCTGCAGCTCGTTCACCTGGGAGGCATAGTTCTCATTGGAGCGCAGGGCGATCTCCAGCGACTTCTGAACCCTCGCAAGGTCCCCCCTCGCAGCTCGAAGCTCGGCACCCTGCAATTTCGCTTCACCAAGGGCAGCACTAAGAACCTTGTTCTCCTCCTTCAGGACTTTGTTTTCGTCCCTCAAGGGTTGAACTCGGCCCCTCAGTCAGACCAGATCCTCCTGCTACTTGGACCACCTATGCTTCTAGTGGTCCACAATGGCCATAGCCCTCTACAGAAGGACTTGAGCAGCATCAAAGCTCTCCACGGGCCCGGCCCCTTCAATCATCTCCTGATCCTCCGAGCTCAGCGAACCCTTGGGAAAGAACTTCTCGGCGGTCACCCCCGCGCTCCATAGCGAATCCATGTCAGCCGAGGCACTCACATGGTCCAATCGCACAACAGGGCGGTCCTTCCCGAAGCGGTGGGCAATGTATTGACTCTGGGAGGCCCCCTGCGATGGACCTGACGATGGCGCAGAAGCTGCAGGCGTAGCTGTCGGGACCTCAAAACTTGGCCCCTTGCCCCGAACCTCGGCAGCATCAGAAGCGGCAGCAGACATCCCCTGCTCTACACCAAAGACACCCGCTCCTGGCACCTCGGAGCTCGGGGTCGCCAGGACCTCGGCGGCCTTACTCGCCTACAAAAAAGAAAACAGTGGCAACTTAAATAAAACCTCAACCAGAACGCAGCATAAAAAGGAAAAGAGAAGCCACAAGGCAAGACACATACCTTGGCAGTCGAGATGACCTGCTCAGCACCCTGGGACACCTCCTTGGTAGCTAGAGAAACCTGCTCGACAGTCTGTGTCGTCTCCGCAGTAGCCATTTGACTCTATTCAAGCATGAAAAAATGGCAACAACAGTCGGTCAAACACATGGAAAAAGTCGCAACAAAGACAAACATATTTGAGATAAAACAAAGGAAGTATTCCATAAAATAAAATTAAGCTCCATTTATATCTATAAAAGAATGAGTTGCAATGAAATTGATAGTAGCATTACCTTTGAGCTTATAAGAAAGCTCTTCGGAAATGAGGGCGCCGAAACCTGTATATGTAGAAGTGGAAACAGAGTATATCTTCTTCTTGGCCTCCTCCTCACTGCAACCAGAAGAAATTAGAGAAGAGAAAGAAGTGCGGTAAATAATTAATTAGAAGAAGGAAAAGGACCTTCCGAGAACTTGTGCTAGGGTTTTGACATAAATGTTGACCATATGGTCGTCGGAGGGTTTAGGGTTATCGGGGAACTCCATGACGATGAGCCAGTGTTCGTAATCGCAGCCATCGAGAAGAATGGTCTCCTTGGGGGGACGGTTGCTCCAATTGGGGGAGGGGTCGTTGAGGGGAGAGTAACCCGAACCGGATGATTTGGTCCGAACCGGGAAGCGAGGGAGGAGTGTGCTTTGTCTGGTGGGGAGCAACGCGAATGCGAAGCGACAGCGAGAGGGAGAAGCAGCGTTTCTGGATGACGAACAAAGTGCTCGTGCCAGGCTGTATGCTAAGGTGCGCCGCCCGTTTGAGTAAGCCATTTCCAACCTCTCACCGCTACTCTTCACTCTGCACTCGCCTATGCTGCTTTGAAGACCTCCCTGATAAAAAATATATATAAAAAAATAAAAGGCAAGTCCCATTTTTATTTGCAACATAAATTGCTACACCATACTATCTCCATGTGTCATATGCTATTGTATAATCACAAAGAGCCATCGTGGAAATTAAATGGTAAATGAATGTCTGGACTCTGGATTCATCTACCAAGGGTATTTTTCTGATCTAATGTGGTCCATCTAATCCTATAAGAATGTATACCAGAAACACATTTACAGAACATTGCATACCAAATAATTTATCTTTGAACAATCTTCTGAAAAAACATATTACCTCCGTCCTTGATTATAAGACCCTTTAAACTAAATTACACCCTTAAAGAAAATTAGTTAATTTAGTTAAAAACATTAAATTTGTCAATAACTTAAACTACTTCTTCAAAATTAACATTTTCTCCTTCCACTTAATCATTTATCACCTAATTAATATTTAGAAGAGAGATATATATGTGTCTTTTTATCTTCTCCAATCCTAAAATGAGAGTTTTTATTCAATTAATTTCAAACATTTATTATCTTTAGTCTAAAAAGAATTGTTAATTAAATAAGGATATTTTAAAGAAATATAATTAATACAACTGAAAGAGAGTCTTACAAAAAGGAACTCGACTTCAGAGTGGGCCAGTAGTACCCAGCTCGGAGTACTCTGGTCGCCATTGAGCGTGCTCCGGAATGCATGCCACATATGCCCCGGTGAATTTCCTCGATGACGTAGGCCGCCTGAGGCGCAGTCAAGCACTTTAGCAGTGGAGTGGAAACGCCACGTTTGAATAACTCATCCCCAATAATGACGAACTTAGTCGATCTCATCCTCATCTTTCGAGCTTCGTCCTTATCCTCGGGCAGGATTCCTTCTTTCAACTAAGCCCAGATGCCTGTCATCCACCCCAGGTCTTCACTGTCACTAACATTGATGACTTTGTCGTCCAAGCTGGGTGAGTGCAAGGTTTCCTGGATGATGGTTCGGTGCTGTCCAGGCCTTTTGCTGCTGGCGAGCTTGGATAGGAGGTCAGCTCGGGTGTTTTGCTCTCGAGGCACATGCTGTATGGTGAACTCGTCAAAGGACGAGATCTGGTGGGATGCAACGTGGTACTGAAGTACCGCTGTAGGAGAGTATCCTTTGCCTGGTACGTTCCACTGAGTTGCTCCACCATGAGCTTCGAGTCGCTGTTGTAGATCACTCTTCGAGCTCCGAGGTCGCGGGCTAGCCTTAGTCCTGCGAGGAGTGCCTCATATTCCGCCTGGTAGTTAGTCACCTTGAAGCTAAACTTGAGGGATTGCTCCAAAGTGACTTGGTTTGGCCCTTCCAATATGATACCTGCACCACCACCCTTAGAGTTGGAGGACCCGTCAACGTGTAAAGTCCATACCTCGGGTCCCTCGGCAGTAGTAGGTGTGAGCTCGGCTACAAAGTCGGCCAGGCATTGAGCTTTCAGGGGTCTGCAACTTTCGTACTGGATGCCGAACTCAGATAGTTCTCCTGACCACGCAATCATTCGTCCGGCGAGCTCGGGCTTTCGCAGAATTTGCTTGATGGGGTAGTCGGTTTTGACTACCACTTGGTGACGCTGGAAGTAGGGTCGGAGGCGCCGAGCTGCGGTGACAAGTGCTAGTGCAAGCTTCTCGATCATTTGGTATCGCTTCTCCGCGTCTTGGAAGACTCGGCTGATGAAGTAGATCGGTGTTTGTACCTTTTGGTGCTCTTGTACTATGACTGCACTGAAGGCACTTTCTGCTACGGCCAAGTAGAGGAGGAGGTCAGTTTTGTGATCCGGCCTCTGTAGGATTGGCGGAGTCGTGAGAAAAGTTTTGAAGCTTTTGAAAGCCTCCTCGCATTGGTCCGTCCACTGAAAGTCTTTTGGCTTCCGTAGCAGAGTGAAGATCGGCCTTGCCTTCTCTGCGAGTCTAGGGATGAAACGGGACAGTGAGACTAACCGTCCAGCCAGGCGTTGGACCTCTTTCACTGTTTGCGGGCTCTGCATCTGGATGATGGCTTTACACTTCTCGGGGTTGGCCTCGATTCGTCTGCTAGTGATCATGAAGCCGAGGAACTTGCCTCCCTAGACGTCGAAGACGCACTTCTCCACGTTGAGACGCATGTTGTGTCTCCGGATCTGGGCGAACACCTCGGCGAGGTCGGTAGCGTGGTCTGTTGCCGAGGTGGTCTTGATCACCATGTCGTAGACGTAGACTTCCATGTTCCGTCCGATCTACTGGCGAAAAACCTTATCCATCAGCCAC